GTGGGAGACCTGGTCTGTAAACAGATAATCAGAAAGATGCAATAAAACACAACAGTGGGGCTTACTTAGTTACCCAGTTTTTTCCCCCTTTTGTTTTTGTTTTTCTTACTTTGTCCTGTCGCAACTTTGTTCTTAGTGACTTGATCTTGGTGGGTGTTCCCCCAGGCCTGGCTTCTACTACAATCATATGAGTTGATTTCCTGGTTAAAATCAACAACCCTTGCCTCTCTTCAATGACCTTGTTTCTGTTCCCTGTTGCTCCCTCCTTCTTGTCCCGTTTCCTTCACTTAACTTGGATCCCAAACAGTTTGTAGTGGTTGCTGCAGGAGAAGGGCACAGAAATGTTTGTACACCATGTCAACTCAGAAATGATTGAGATTTCAAGCTTTTCTTGCCATAGCAACCAACTTCAGCATATTGTTTATGAGAGAGAAAGAAAGGGCCCAGCCACATCTGAGAGCAATGACTGGAGAGGTCTTTGAGAACAGATAGAAGTTACAGTCTATTTTCTGGGAATTATGTGATATGCATCCCTTAGTCAAACTATTGATATTTCGATATTTCTCAGAATTTTGAGGCCAGAGATTTTTCTGGCACCTGTGGGGAATTTTAATAAGCAAAGTACTTGCCCCTAAAAGTCTTTTGTATAACAACTTTTTTCACTGTAAAACAATGAGCATCATGAAACATTTTCTTTCCAGCTTCCCTTTATGGGTTAAAATTGGGCGTCTGTATAATACAGTTTTTAAATGAGCAGCTATTAGATCTTGGTGAAAATTATCTCAAAAGTGAATCCTGAGAAAAAAGTGAAAACTTGTTTAGAAATACCTGCAGAAAAATATCTCACTTAAAAACCATGAAGTCTTTAGGAGAAAGAAAAGATGCTTGGGGACAAAACTTTACTGTAGAGCATAGCTTCCCTCTGGGTTATGGAGGTCAAGTGAGGTTGAACTGGCCTTTGGCTGACAACTAGAACATGGTCCTGCATAGCCACTTAGTTGTGTTGTCTAGGGTCTGATTCCAGCTTTAACCAGACATCTGACAGTGCTAGGAAGTTCTGTGGCTCTTCCGCACAGTTCTGCAGCTGAGCAACTCAGAATTGCTCTCAAGAGTAAGAAAGCAGGCTGGGGATGTAACTTAGTTGATAGAGTGGTTGCCTTGCACCCCTCAAACCCCAGCAACATCCCCCCCAAAAAAAGTAAAAAAGTACTTAACTCAAACAAGCACTCTTATTACACAGTTGTTAGGCAGGAATTCCTGGTTTGTTTGGCCTGATACTAATGCATTTGGTCAACATGACAACCCAGTGGAGCCAGGAGGGGAAGAGGTGACATCTCTTAATTATTTATTATTTGACATAATAATGATAATTTGAAATAATAATTATGTGTGTCTGGGTTACTGGGGATCAAACTCAGGGCTTTGCATATGTTAATCATGCACTCTACCACTAAACAACACAGCCCAACTCACTTTTTTATTTTTTAAAGCAGTTAAATGCTCATGATAAAAAAATTTCAAACAGTATCAAGATAAAGACAAATCTCTGGGGCTGGAGTTGTATCTCAGTAGTAGAGTGCTTACCTAGCATGTGTGAGACACTGGGTTTGATCCTCAGCACCACATAAAAATAAATAAATAAAATAAAGGCATTGTGTCCATCTGCAACTAAAAATCAAATATATATTGAAAACAAAAAAAAAAGCAAATCTCTCTCTCAGCCCCAGCCCTTGGGCTGCTAGATCTTTCCAAAGGCCGTCCTGTATTTCATTTCTTATTTCCTCCCTAAGAGAATTTGAACATATAGAAATATAAATGTCTTTTCCCCCCTTGGTTTCTATTCATTTGGTATCTCACTCTACAACTGAACATCTTGCTTGTTTACTTAACTGTATATCAAAGATAATTTTGTCCTTTGCTTTTGATGTTGTATAGCATTTCTTTGTGGGGATGTGCCATAGTATTTTATACTTGTTTTTGTCCTTTATTATAAACAACTTTGAAATGAATCTTTGTGTCTTTTGCAAGTGTATATATAAGATAAATACCTAGACATGGAATGTCTGGGCTAAAGGGTATGTGTTCTCCATTTTGGTAGACAATGCCAAATTGCCTTCTAGCTACCTTTTTTGAAAAATGAGTAAAGAAGAGACCCAAAGAGATATAGATTCATGATTTATTCAGTTCCTCTATCTGTGAGCAGCAGTGTAAGAAACAGAAAAAGTTTCTATCTCCAGGCCTAGCCCTCTTCCCTGAATCCAACCTGTGTCTCCCCATTGGTAGCTCAGATCCCTGGACCCTCCAAGCTTCCACTTCAGTCCTGTCACTTTTTTTTTTTTTTTTTGAGAGAGAGAGAGAGAGAGAGAGAGAGAGAATTTTTATTTATTTTTTAGTTTTTGGCGGACACAAGATCTTTGTATGGGGTACTGAGGATTGAACCTGGGCAGCACGCATGCCAGGCGAGCGCGCTACCGCTTGAGCCACACCCTCAGCCCCTGTCACTTTCTTTTCTGACCCCAGTACCCTACCGTCTCAGTTCTTTGGACTTTCCGATAACCCTTTTTAGTAGTTAAGTTGATTCTGAAGTCCTCAGACATTGCAGAAATCCAGGGCTGAGACTTTGTACTTTAATTTGTTTGTTTGGACAATACATAAATTTCAGAAAAACAAGAACAACATTTCTTTTCGTGTGTGTGTGTGTGTGTGTGTGTGTGTGTGTGTGAGAGAGAGAGAGAGAGAGAGACAGAGAGAGAGAGAGAGAGAGAGAGAGAGGCAGGGTCTCACTGTGTTAGCTGGATGGCCAGCTCTTTTAATCAAAAATTTAAGCTGGGAGTGGTGGCACATAAGTGTAATCCCAGCAGCTCAGGAGGCTGAGGCAGGAGGATCTCAAGTTCAAAGCCAGCCTCAGCAACTTAACAAGGCCTTAATCAATTTAGCGAGACCCTGTCTCAAAAAAAGGGATGGGGATATAACTTAGTGGTTAAGCACCCCTGAGTTCAATCCCGGGTACAAAAACAAAAAAAAGTATAATCAAAGTCTTGTTGGGTGCTGTGATGCACACCTGTAATCCACCCCTCTCAAATTAATCAAAGTGTGTATGTGTGTTACTGGGTATTGAACCAAGGAGCACTCTACCACTGAGCTACATCCCCAGCCCTTTTACTTTTTTTTTTACTTTTACTTTTTTTTTTTCTGAAACAGAGTCTTGCTAAATTACTGAGGCTAACCTCAAACTTGTGATTCTCCTGCCTCTGCTTCCTGAGTTGCTGAGATTACAGGTGTGCTCCACCACACCCACTTTTTAAAAATTTGTTTTTTGGTACTGGAAATTGAACCCAGGGATACTTTACTACAGAGCTATATCTCTGGTCCTTTTTATTTTATCTTGAGACAGGGTCTTACTACGTTTCTGAGGCTGGCCTCGAATTTCTAATCCTCCTTTTTCTATCACCAGAGAGTCTCTGGGATTACAGGTGGGCATCACCAAGCTTGGCCATGCCCAGCTTGTGTGTGTGTGTGTGGGGGGGCGTTGCTGGGGCCTCATGCATGCTAGGCAAGTGCTTTACCAATGAGCTACACCCCCAGCACTTTTCTTTTGTTGTTTTAAGACAGGGTGAGAAGCTGGGATTATAGGTGAGCGCTACCATATCCAACTAATCAAAATCTTTTGGGCCAAAAGAATTTGTAGCCACCAACTAACTCTGAGAAAAAATGTCAGCTAAGAGTTGGCTGCCTGGACTTTCAGGGCAGGCAGCATGCTTCTTGGTCAGCTTGGGTGTCTATTCCGGAGTGCTGCTGCAGCTTTGAGGGAATTCTGCCCTACAGCAGCATCCCTCATATGAAGTCTCAGACAAATGGTACCTCTCTGGGCCAATAGTACCCTGATTTGGAGTCAAAGCCTAGCCCAGGGATGTATATAGCAAGCCCCTGGCCTCAGATTGTGACCCCTTCTGTCTCACAAGTTTGGGATTTAGCTAGTTGAGAGGTACCTACAGCCGCTGCTGAGCAGTGGGGACATATCAGCCACATTCCTGTTTTTCCTTCTGGGAACTCCTCAGGGTACAGGGCTATTCTGGTGTTGGGATGATAAAGGGAAAGCCAGGCTTGGGATGTAAATTCATAGGTTCCTTTCAAAGTAGTTGCCCTGGTGATGGTGTCCCTGGAAAGTCAATGTGCAAGCCAGAGAGATTTGCCCCAGAAGGGAACCACCCAACTCAACTATATTCATAGGTCTTGACCTGATTACCTTGCAAAGATTTGCTTTTATTTAGAATGCCAGCTCTTTGATCACCTTTGTCACCTTTGATTGCAGGTGACAAGATTAGAATGAATCCAGTATACTACTTCTTATGACAGTGTGTTCCTTGGGGCCACTGACTTAAGAAAGCAACCTCAATCAACCACATCATAAATCTTGGACATAAACCTTGTAGACTGTCAGCCACAGTCTAGAGACAGAAAGACAAACCAGAGAGCTATTTGAGGGTAATTATAATGTCTACCATTTAGTGAGCATTTCTATGTCAGGAATTTGCTTACAGTGTCATTGGTCTATATACCACTCTAGGGAGTATCCATACCCCATGCCCATTTTTCAGATGAGGAAACAGTTCTTTCAGTTAGTGGATGCAGAGTCAGGAGCCAACCTAGATATGTTTCTTCAAAGCCAGGGCTCTTTTTTCCTTGTGTGGCTTCTTATTGAAGATAGAATAAGTGACCAGAAGACTGTACTTAAGTCCCTGAGAGAAACCTTAGGTCATTCCATTTAGCTTTGAGGTATGACTCCTCTGAGGTGACTTCAAATACTGTCAAGCTTGGCCTGCATGATGCTGTGCACCTTGGGTGGGCTGAAGCGGCCCTATGGAATGGATTGCAGTAGAAGTATCGAAGGCAGGACAGTGTGGACCAGATGGCTTTGGGTGGGGCAGGATTTCATACCATTTATCATTCCCACATTTCCTTTTATTTCAGATGTTTTCAAATCAGCGAACATTTACTGAGCATCTGCTACGTCCAAGGTACAGTTCCGGGTATTTGGGGGAAGAGATGTGGGGGGACAAAGGTGAATAAATCAATCACAGCATGTTAACTGCCTTTGAGGGAAGCTTGTGTATTAGGGGCAGATATATGGGGATGGCAAAGCGTTCCAAATGGCCTAGTGACAGTTCCAGTAAGGACTGAGCATAATGGCCCTGACCCTGCTTCCTGGATGAGGGGATGCTTGCAGTGGGATCTGAAAATCAAGTCATATTTTCTTGAGCTGAAGAGTAAGAGGTGTTTCAGGCAGATGTGCTGAGATGGGGTCTGCCGTATTTTTTTGCATAGTCAGATTCTGGGCCAATGGGCAGGGGCTCCTGAAAGGAGAGTCTGGCTGCCAGGATTTTGTCCCTGGCTCCTGGCCTTACCACCACGAACTCAGAGCTAGCCTCTCTTCCCAGATGCAGTGCTGCCTGCTTCTGCTGGAGTCCCATCTTGGGCCCAGAAGATACTGGGGGGTGGGACCCTTCTGTAAGGTCAAGACCATCCCTTCCTGTCCTTCATGTCATCTTTGGACACCAGGCCAGCTATTGGGCTCAGGGAAGCAGAGCAGGGGTGGGGGATTGCTGCCACCTGGTGGTCTGGCTGTGGCCAATGCCTGGTCTTTTCCAGAGCTCCCTGAAGTGAGTCAAAGAATATTAGCCCACCTTTCTGTGTAAATCTACCCCAGGAGCAGATTTACCTAGAGAAACATGGTCATTTCTGCTGCTGGAAGAAACCAAAGAGGAATTTTCCCCTCTTGTGTCCTGGCTCTTCTTCCTAAGAAACCCTAGGCAGCCCTTCTGAGGCACAGGAAAGAGGTCCTGAGTTTCTAGTCCTGAAGGGATTATATGTCTGTTGAGGGGCAGAGGCCACACCCCCATCTGAGCACCCACTCCCTCTTTCCCTTAGAAAAGGCTAAGGGGGCCCTCTCTGAAACTTGCATTTGGACTTCAGGATGGAGATGACTAATCCTAACAGAATCAGCATGTGTTCTCATGGCTCTGGCCCCAGACTGATATTACCAGATGAGAACATGTCTTATTGGGTTTCACTTTGATGGCTGTGGAGACAGAGCACTTTGAGTAACAGGCAGCCACATTGTGTCCTGAATAAACCCTGGGCCTTCCTACCTTATCTTGGTCAGACTGGGACCAGAGCCTGCTTTGGGGCTCTGGGATAGCCCTCTACTACCACCCTCTCTGCACTGCCTCTCTTTGTTGGGCTGGGATCCCAGGTTCCCTGCAGTGTGTGCTTTACATCCCTGCCTGTTTTCCCTGCTAAACCTGGCTGCAGGCATGAGACCCTGGGCTCCCACCTGGACCTCCTCTGGCTAATGCTGTACTCTTTCTCCCTCTGGAGATGAACATCTGCAACAAGCCTTCCAACAAGACAGCCCCTGAGAAGAGTGTGTGGACAGCACCTGCACAGGCCAGCGGACCTTCCCCAGAGCTGCAAGGCCAGCGGTCCCGTCGGAATGGGTGGAGTTGGCCTCCTCACCCACTTCAGATTGTGGCCTGGTTGCTGTACCTCTTCTTTGCTGTGATCGGCTTTGGGGTCCTTGTTCCTCTCCTGCCTCACCACTGGGTGCCTGCTGGCTACGCTGTATCCTTAGGAAAGTGTGAGGCTAGTGCATGGAAGAGTAGGGACATTGGATGGATGGAAAACAGAGGCTTGAAGCTGGGGCAGAGCAGGGCAGGCCCAGCTGCTTCCCAGCCTGATCTCCAGCCCACACCAATTCCTCCTCTGATAGGGCAAGTGGGTAGATATAAAGTACCTTAGAGCATTGAAACCCCTTAACAGAAGGGTCTTATACCTGCAGTGTCACAGGAGCCATCAGAGGAGAGAGCATTAGAGCTTCTTCAGGTTGATTGTGCCCAGAGCTAAACAGATAGCATATTGGGGAGTAATTATTCTATTTCTCAAAGAGTTTGTCATGGTAGCATGGTAGAATTCTTTTACATTGTAAGTTTCCTAGTATATTTAAAATGTGGTTTTATTTACGGACAGATTATTATGTTGTTCCCAGAATTTTTTTACAAACTCACTGATTTTGTAAATCAGACCCTTTTTAGGATGAGAGTAAATGTGACAAGAGGTGGCATAGAGATACCCTAAAAGCTCTTAGGAATAGTGACAAACATGTACTTGACTGGGCCTAATGTGACTGCCCCAGCCCTGGCCACAACACCCAGGAGTTGTAAGGCTGAGGGCCTCTATGTGCCCTGTTGGGAGTTCCTAGGGGAATGTCTTGCTGTGTGCTAGAACAAAGAATCCTGGGAGAAGAAGACCAGAGCAAACTTGAGAGCCTGGAGCATACTCAATGGCCAAGTATGGTCCCAGCTTAACCCCTTCAGGTCTGCACATGACTGAGCAGCTTCTCAGCTTCTCTAGCTTTGGGTCTCAGCCTCCTCTGACTTGTAGGAAGGGTGATCCTTGCTTCCTGCAGGTGGGTGGGGACGAGGAGCACATTAGGATGGGTGTGAGCACCGGAAGGCATGAACCATAAGGAGAGCATGCGCTCTTGGGAGACTGCAAAGCCCTAGGCTGGTGCGTGACAAGGTTCAAGGGCAGGTGAGTGAAGGACTCTAGAAAAGATTGTCATCCTCAGACACCAGCAGTGTCATTGGGGTCTCCCTGGTTCACTAGAGTGCAAAGTTGTCAGCTATATGAATGGAAAGCTAACCTTTCCTTGAGGTGATCAACAGGCCTTAGTGCAGTTAGGTGGAATGCTTTGTGGGACATTCCTCCTAAGGTCTAGAGTGGATACATCCCCCACTCAGGTTTACCTGGCTTTCTGCCATAAGGTACCTAGGAAACCAGATGAATAACCATGGTTTGGAGTGAGCAGAATCAGAAAATAACAGTAAACAAAAAAGTAACTAAAATTTATTGAGCAATTATAGGTGCCAGGTACTGTCAGCCGTTTTATATGGGTCATCTTATTCCTCATAATAATCCTGTAAGGAAGGTATTCTCTCCATTTTACTAATGAAGAACTGGGGCTCAGAGAGAATAAGTGACTTCCTGAGGTAACTGGTATCCAGTGAGGCCAGAAGGGCTGCTCGGCAGTCTGACTGAGGAAGTGGGATCATTTGAGGGTTTGGTCTTACCACATTCACTGTCCATCCACTTTGGGTTATGTAGCGGTTCCCAAAGTCACCTGGTTAGGCACCCTGACCAGGGCTTCCATCAAAAGCCTCCTTCTTTTGCAGACTTTCTCAAGGCCCTGAGGAATGAGGTAGGGTAGTGGTGTGTATCAAGGACCCACTGTGGGCCTGGAACTGGCCTGAACCCAAGAAATGCAAAGATGAGCACTGAGTGCTCAGCTGCCAACTGGAGGAAAGGCTAGTAGGTTGGACATGGTGGTCACACCATACTGTAAATATGGGGTAGGATCTCAGAAAGCAGACTGTGGAAGCAGAAGGAGGGCACCTATACTGGCTTCACACATCTAGAAACACACTTACTGCTCCCCCTTCCCATATATAGCCTCTCCCAATATGCTTTGGGCTCCTCCCCCTTCCTCTGATACTGATATCATCAGTCACCAAGTCCTATTGATTTCATCTTCTTTTTAAAAAATGTGTTGTTTTTAGTTATACAAGACAGTACAATGTATTTTGATAATATTATACATACATGGAGTGTTGCTTCTCATTCTTGTGGTCGTACATGACGTGGAGTTAAACTGGTCATGTATTCATATATGAGATTTCATCTCCTTAATAGCTATCAAACTTATCCTTTCTCCTCACTTCCATCTGTCTTCCTCTCTGGCCTATTTTCTTTCCAAGCAATGCCTCCTGCATGCCCTCACTCCTGTAGCCATAGTGTTCTTAAAAAAAAATGGTAACAATTCCATTTCAAAAACCTCTAGTGGTTTTTTCCTATCTAAGAAATGAGGTTCAAGATCTTTATATAGCCTTCAAGCCTCTCCATCTCTGGACTCTGCCTGTCCCCCTGGCTTCTTCTTATATTATTCCCCCTGTTCTCTGTTTTGACAACACTGGAAGACCCCTTGCCTCTTTGCCTACCCCCCAGCACTCAGCTGAGTCAGAGGTCAAGAATTAGTAGCCTATGGCCAATCTGATTTTGTAAAAACTGAGGGATAATTAACACACGAAATACTCAGCTCTTATTCACAGGTGTATTTTGAAAATTATTTATTTCTTTAACATTTAAATATTGAGAGATCTCACATAAAACCCCAGATTTCTAGTTCCTTTTGAAAAGCCAGAATTTGGCAACACAGACCCTCCTTCTTGTGTGGCAGCTCTGAACTGGGACCACATATCAGCCACCCCTCTCAATGACACCTTGCATGTTCCCAGCAGCCTCAGTACCCAGCAGGCCCCCTTTCCTCCTTACCTTACCTCACCATCAAGGGCCCTGTTGTCCATTCTTCTCCATGTCTCAACTGAGACCATACTTCCTTGGGGAAGCCTTCCAGAATCTTTCAGACTAGATGGGGCCTCTCAGTTACAAACACACACTCCTGTGAACTTTCTTCATTTAATTAGCCTGTTATTTGATTAATATCTGCATTTCCCACCAGATTGTAGGCTCCTCGGGGCTGGGAACCAAGTCTGTTTAGCCCCTGTCATATTCCTCAGTGCCTGGCATAAAGATCTCAGTAAACAGTTGAATGAATGAACCAGAGGGTGGGCAGCAGAAGTGCTACAGCAGGCAGGAAGTTTAATGTTTGACCATGAATTGAGTGTTTAAAAGAGGCTCATGTAGTGAGATGCTGTGGTTGGTGGTACTGGAGAGGTTTGGGAGGAGCCAGAGCAAAAGGGACCTTTGCCCTGAGCTGAGGCATGAACTTCATCTGGAGAGCCCTTGAGAGCATGAGGGCCTAAGGTTTAAGCTTTTAAAAGTTCACTGTGACCATGTGAAGGGAACTCTCAAGGGAACACAGACAGGAGGGGCAGAGTCAGGAGGCTCTTGAGTGACCCAGGCAAGTGGTAAAAACCTGACCGTGGCAGTGACCATAGGGATAGAGGTCAGTGGTAGCCATGAGTTGCCTCAGCTATGGTATAGCACATTAGGGTGGAGCTTGGCATTTGGCTACTGGGAGGGAGAGGAAAGGAATTTGGACAGCTGATAGTGAAAGATGGAGGAGAATTATGATGAATCTATATGATGGAGGGATGATATCTGGTCACCAAGAGAATGGATAGAGGTTCATAGGTGAGGAGATGGAAGAAGGAAGGGTAGGTAGATGACTATATGAGTGGAATCTTATTGGTTAATTTTTACAGTTAGACAAGTTGACAGCATACTCATCTCCTGAATTTCTCTCAGTTACTAAGTAGATAGGCCCTGGGACAAATATGTTTCAGCTCCAGGAGTTAGCCATTCTGTCCCTGGGCAGGCCCTGAACATGTCAGGCCATCCCAAACACTCATCCCAAGTCTCCAAGAGCCTGGTCCCCCTATCTGCAAGTGGTTCTCCACCTGGTCCGACTGCTGAAAGGGAATGGCTGCTTCTGTCTTGGAGCTGACTCCCTGTGAAAGCAAGATAAACAAGTTCAGAACTTAAACTTTATTTATTTGCTTGCTTGTTTGTTTTTTGGTCCCAGGGATTGAACTCAGGGGCACTTAACCACTGAGCCACATCCCAGCCCTTTTTATATTTCATTTAGAGACAGGGTCTTGTTAAGTTGCTTCAGGCCTCATTAAGTTGTTGAGGTTGGCTTTAGACTTGAGATCCTCCTGCCTAAGCCTCCTGAGCTTCTGGGATTACAGGCATATGCCACTGTGCCTGGCAGAACTTGAACTTTCGGTCCCTGGACCCTCAGACCTTCTTTCATCTCACTTCATCATCTGGAATCTGAAACTAGAAAGAAACTGGCCTGAGTTCAGACCAGTCAGGACCTACCAGGGCCTGGAGTGTTAAGGCCCCTAGGTTAGGCCCTGGGTGGCAGCAGGAAGCAGTGGTCCCTCTCCTCCATTTGGGGCCCATGGGTCCACTGAAGAGGGCTGACGAGGAGGTTCCTAGAGAGCTGGAGGCAGGAGGTGTCACAGGAGCTCTCTGCATAAAGGTATTTAATATGGGGCGGGGGAGAGAAGTTTTCTGGCTACAGGATGTGGGCAGGGCTTCCAGCCAGCAGAGTGTGGAGTGAGTCTTTAACCTGTTGGGCCAGTGCATGGGTGTCATCTTTGCTGGTCACCTCGTGGTGCACCTGACTGCAGTCTCCATCGATCCAGCAGATGCCAATGTACGGGACAAAAGCTATGCAGGACCCCTGCCCATCTTCAACCGCAGCCAACATGCACATGTCATTGAAGATCTGCACTGCAACCTGTGCGACGTGGACGTGTGAGTTCATGTGTGTGGATGTGAGTGTGTGGACCACAAGTGTGCCTGGGGGCCTGCCAGTGGGGTACTGGATGGAGAGGGACATGCGAGGCCTTCACATTCAATCTCATGCCTCAGCACCCTCATTTTTCTCATAGACAAAATTCTTGATGGAATGACCGAGAACTGGTGGGAAAGTGAGAAGAGGTGATTGAATAAATGAGTTATAGAATTTCTGACGGTTCAAGTAGGAAACATTCGGCACTGCTACTGCCACAAATGACTGACTTTGCCAGTTAAATCCCCTGCTTTATAAGTACCCGGAAGGGGCAGGAGGAAAGTCAATGCTTGAGTGCGCTGGGCCATGCGCTGTGTAGAGGCCCCCTACCAAGTATGCAGCAGCTTTCTCCCTTCACAGAGGCAAAAAGAACCTATCAGTCAGAAAGCTGGGAGGTTGCTCTGAAGTCACATAGCTACTGAACAACAGAGCCAGGATTACAACCCTGGTTGCCTGGCCCCTGAGCAGATTCTGTTAACCCTTGGTTACTCATGAGGAATAACCCAAAGATTCCAAGAAACTTGCTCCAAGTCACACGGCTAGTGAGGAGAGGGGTCAGAATGTGGAGTACCCATTCACCCTCTAGGGCCCATCACTCTCCTCCCCTTCTGGGTCTTTCTAGTCTCCCAGCCTTAGATGGGGGATGAAGGATGGGGTATTATCCACAGCAAGCTTCACATTTGAAATCTGAAGACCTAGACAGCCTATTAAAAGTGGTCTGTCCACGGGAACCAGAAAGCCCACAACATGAAGGTACTGAGGACTTGGGCACTAAGCCATCCTGTCATTCCTTACCAACCAGTCGGCATAAGCCACTAAGAAGTCGCTCTGATGCTCTTCCATTTTAAGGGCTGACTCTTCCACATTCCCTTTGGCCTTTTGCTGGTGCCTGCTGGGGATGGGACACTCCCACTTGCATCCTAATGTAGCCTCTCCTCCTCTCACTCCTGCCATGAGCTCCCTTAATGCCCACACAGCTGGCAACTTGCTCCTCTTCTTTTGGCTCCCTTTCTATTAGTCCACACAGACTGAGGTTTTCTAGAAGAATGCCCGTATAAAGCCCCTCCTGCAGTGTCAGGGAAAGGGATCCAAAAATGGCATTTTAATGAAGAGAAGTGCAGGCCCTAGGCCTAGCAGCCTGCTCACTGCTGTTCTGGACCTCACACCTGCATCTTCTGGCCTGGTGAGCCTTCCCTGAGCAGGATCCCATATGGAGCCCCTCCTTCCTTCTTCCTGGTCCCTCAGCGTCGCCTCTAGAAGTCTCACCCTGCAGTTCCACAAGGGGGCGCGCATGCTCCTCTGCCAGGCGGGTAATTGGGCTCCAGGCTGGTGCTGGGGGTCATTACACCCACTGCTCTTGAGTGGGCCACGAAGGGCCCGCCCTTGGGGGGTCGGTAAACCACGCGGTGCCTTCCACCCGCAGGAGTGCACGCTCTAAGCACTGCAGTGCTTGCAACAAATGCGTGTGTGGTTTTGATCACCACTGCAAGTGGCTCAACAACTGCGTTGGCGAGAGGAACTACCGGTGAGACACCCTGGACATGGGGGTACCCCTGTCGGTGTGAGCCTCTGGCCTTGTAGCCTGCTTGTAAGAAGGGGTGGGAGAGGGGGACCTGGGCTCCTCTTTGAGAGTGGTGCTCCTGGGGTGTGGCTGGAACATGTAAGGATGGGCTTGGGGTCTTCCACCTTGCTGGCCTGGTTAAAGGTGGGAAGCCTGAAAAGAGGCTACTCATCTTCAGCTTTGTCCTGTATTTTGGCTTCTGAGTAGTTGGGGCTGTGAGGTCAGGGGCCAGGCTCCCATGTCAGCCTGGGCCCTTCTGAACTCTTGGCCCTTACTAAGCTGGAGCTCTGGGGTGCTGACAGCTGCCCATGGCTGGGCCAGGCTCTTTCTACACAGTGTGGCATCTGCTTTACTGGGTGTCCTGCTCCTGGTGCTGGTGGCCACTTATGTTTTTGTGGAGTTCTTTGTCAACCCCATGCGGCTGCGTACCAACCAACACTTTGAAGGTCAGTTTGGGTTCCAGGCTCACACCCCCACCATCCCCAGGGTCTTTTCTGGTTACTGGTTTCAGACCTGGCTGAGCACAGTATGCCTGTGCCTTGCAGTCCTGAAGAATCACACCGATGTGTGGTTTGTGTTCTTGCCTGCTGCTCCTGTGGAGACCCAGGCTCCTGCCATTCTGGCCCTGGCTGCCCTACTCATCCTTCTTGGCCTGCTGTCCACAGCCCTGCTTGGCCACCTGCTCTGCTTCCACATTTACCTCAGTAAGTGCTGTCTTACTTATCTCCCCACCACCTGCCTAGACTACAGGGCCCTGAAATCATGCCCCTCACCAGTGCTGGCTCTCCTATCCATGGCTTAGGCTATATGGGGACAGAGGTTTCAGTGGGGGACTAGGTGCCTTCCCTCCCCATTTATGAGCTCCAGGGTCTCCTTTCCACTGCTGAACCCTCTTCTCTCCAGTGTGGCACAAACTCACCACCTATGAGTACATCGTGCAGCACCGCCCACCACAGGAGGCAAAAGGGGCCCACAGGAAGCTTGAATCATGTCACCCCAAGATGCGACCAATTCAGGTATATAGCTGGCCTGCTGAAGGGGTCAGAGATGGGCCTGGGTGAGTGGGGGCTGGACTGTGCAGTGAAAGCCAATGAGTATACAGGGCAAGGCAATTCTGCAAGCCTGGAACAACAGTCAGAATATGGGATGCTGGGGCAGAAGGGCACATCTTGTACTAGGTACAAACATGCCACCAGTACAGCCAGAGGAAACCCTGCATGTCTGTGGCCCCTTGTGTGTACCTGTCCAGGCTCCAGGCATGTGCTGCAGAGAGCAGAATGTGGAGCCTAGATGCAGGCAGGTCAGGGCTACAGAAGAGAGAGAGGGATGGACCAATGACTGGTTCAGCAGCTGGGTGGCCAGGGTGGATCCTCAGTTCTCTCCATCTGTGATTTTGAGCCCTTATACCTGTTACTCTATTTCATCCTTTGAACAGCCCATTTTTATCCTTTGAACTGTCACCAACCTTTGGTGCAAATGAGCACATTTAGGCCTAGAAAAGTTAAACAGAAGCTGGGGCTGGGAAGATTTAAGGCCTCTGTACACTGAAGCAGGAACCCTCCAGCCTAGGCTCTAGTCTGGCCCGCCCAGCCAGCCCAGCTGCTGATGAGCCTATCACCATTCCCACGCCCATGGTTTCCTGAGGTCAGCAACTTGGGGGTGGAGGTGGTCCAATCCTCAGAGCCCTGAGGGACTGGGGAGGAAGGGGGCCCAGGCAGGCTTTACTGGGAAGGCTGAGCCCTAGATCCCCAATTCTCATGGCAACTGGACACAAACACAGGCTGGTGGGCGGGTTGGAAGATCACTTGGGACCCACCTCCCTTGTTCTCATTGCTGGGGCTGAACTCTGCCTGTGGGCCAGGATGGGGAAGTGCTGGCAGTTGGTGGAGAACCCCTGCATATCACTGTATGCTTGCCCTGGTGCTGGGTAAACACAGCGGCAGCCATTCTGAGGAGTGGGCATCATCCCCATCCCCACATCACAGAAGAGACTGAGGCTCAGAGAAGCCAGCAAGAGACTTTCTCAAAGCTTGTGGCTCTGCCCATTGAGGGAGTGCTGGTCCTGGGGTGCTCAGAATCCAGGGCCCTTTACCCTCACCCTGCTTAGGCTTTGGGCCCAAATGTGGCAGCAGTGGACACATAATTTCTATTCTTTTCATCTACAAAGGAGTTGAGGGAGGCCTACCCAATAGGAGCTGGGTGATGTCCCCTCTTACAAAAGAGAACTGAGGTGTTATGATACTATTTGGGAATATGCAAATGTTTCAGGGTTTCTGAGAGAGCATCCTGAGGGACAGCTCTAAGAAAGGGAGATTAGAGTGGGTATGCCCTGGATCCTCTCCCATCCCATCCCAGGGGTCCTAGGGCAGGCTTTGCCCCTTTCTGCTGGACGCTGGAGGGGGGCTGAGTCCGCACTGGGGGAGGGGAAATATGTGCAGGAAATGGGATGAGGCAGCACACAATTATAATCCCAGTTACCCTGGGGGCTAAAGCAGGAAGAGTGATCGTTCCAGGTCAGCCTGGGCAACTTGGGAAGACCCCTCTCAAGATACCAAAAAAATTGGAGAAGGCTACCTTAAGGCCCCAGTCCCTGTTACTGGCCTCTGACCCCTTACCCAGGGCTCCTTTGATTAGTCAGGCACCTCCGCACCTCTCCCTAAAGGGTCAGCCCGTCAGCAGTTGGGTGCAGCACTTGCCTGGGGCCTCTGTCTTTGCACCTGTGCAGCCAGCCGCTGCTGACTGGGCTCTGTCCTCTGTCCCCCAGATCTGCCAGGGCTCCTGCAGGCAGTCTTCCCACCCCCAACCAGCAGGAATGCGGGAGGGGCTCCTCTCTGGAGCCGTTGCCCCTAAACATAGGCTTGTTTTAGAGACAGAGTTACAGTGTCTCTGCATTAGTCAGGACGCCTCGGTATCCGTGGAAACGGCTGCGATCCAGTGACAGCTGTCCCGGTGCTCTTCTGCTGGCGGCCGTGCCCCCCTCCCCTTCACTCTTCACACCACGCCCTTCCTGGGCTGGCTTTTGTTTCCTTACCTGCAGTCCTTGCGGACGTAACTTGGGGGCGTGCCGCGTGCTGGGGTGCGGGTCTGGCGGCTCTAGTAACCTCAAGGCCTCTTCGATTTTGGAGGTTGCGTCTTCCACCCCAGAGTAGTTGTGAGGACCACAACTGGCGCCGGATGGGGGCTGCGGCACCGTACAACACCTATTCCATTTCCCTCTCCGGGTAGCGGCCTTGGAGAACGCGCGCTCACAAGCCCTCTTGCCAGCAGCCGGAATTACGGGATTTTGGCTGGAACTCTGTGCAAGAGGGGCGTCCTCCGCAGGACTCCGCTGCGAGGAAGCTGGCGGGTCGCGCACACGACCTCGGTGCACACTGCGGCCTGTGAACAGCTGCATGGTCTCTCATCCAGGGAAAGAATCGGCTCAGAGGCTGGAGTTCTGGGTGGGGCCAGGAACAGGAGGGGGCAGCTCTGAGCACCTCTTGCCTACAAGTCCCTTGGCTGAGCAGTTCTAGCCTGGGTGTATTGGACCCGTGAGACTGGAACCTTCCTGGAGAAGGTGCAGTTTGACTAGATGAAATGACACCTGGATAAGATCCAGAAAGGGGTGTTTTAAGCCTCACCCTGCAGCGGGGTTTTCACAGCACATCTGGGACCCTGAAAAACAGCCCTAGATTCCTGGGGATGAGGCCAGGGACTCTTCACAGAGGCCAATGAGGGCTTCTGCTTTGGGGACTGTGTGGGCTCATGTTTTTGGAGTCCCTGGATCCAGTCTTCCTAACATCCACCTTCCCCAGGAGATGGAGTTCTACCTGAGGACCTTCAGCCATGTACGCCCAGAGCCCCCTGGCCAGGCCAGGCCTGCTGCAATAGATGCAAAGTGAGTGCCACCTGGGCATCTCCCGTTTGTATGGCAGGGCCATCAGAGGTGGGAGAAAGGGGTAGGCCAAGGCATAGTTGTGTTTCTAGTCCAGCATGGCCTAGGATGGATCGGTGCCCTTCTCTTCCCTTTGCTGGGAAGGGACCTCTACCTGGGAGGGATTTCAGAAATAGCTCCCAGAACTTGCCCTTCCACTTTCCCTCAGTCCCTCCAGGTTTCTTGCCACGGGAGGCCCAGTGGAACCTCCTCATCCCTCCTCCTCAGACACGCTGGCCCTGCCTCCCAGGATCCGACCCCAGGTAGGAGACACTGGGCTTGGCACTCTGCCCAAGTGGAAGGACAAGAAAAAGAAGCCTCCACCATACTGCAGTTTCTGCTGCCTTTGGCAATGTGGGGGTCTGGGGATACAGTCCTCAAATTTCCCTGTCTCTGCAGAAAAAGAGGAAGCGGTGCATGTATAAGGTGCCGAGGTCTGGGATCTTGGACCGGGAGTCCCAGCTGTCCAGGCTTCGGGGTGAGTGCCCCACCCTGTCCGGGTTCTGCTGCTGTGGGGACCGGGCTCCGAGGGAAGGAAGGGCTGAGCCGGGAGCAGCAGCCCCTAGTCTCACGCTCCTCTCCATTGTGCAGGGCTCCGGGGCCCAGGCCGCCGCTCCAGCTCATCGACTGATTCTTCCAGTGCCAGCCCGGTGCACGCCGCCGGTCCTGCAGGCGCCTACCACTCGGCGTCAGCAGAGTCTATGGACGAGATTCCAGTGGCTCAGACGCGCCTGGGCAGCGCCGCCCTGGCGGCCCCGGCGGGCAGGGGCCGAGAAACAGGGCTGGCGCTTCAGGCTCGTGCACCGGCGGTTTTCGTGAGCCTAAGCAGCGGCGAGCCCGGGACACCGGGAGGCCGGGAGGGAGGCCTGAATTAGCCTCACCTAAAGGTAGGAGGGCCGAGGAGGAGCGGCCGGCCCAACTCTCTATGCAACACCACATTTTCGCCGCACCGAGTGCACTTTAGGGGCCCCGACGGCCGGCGGGATCGGCCTTGCTCCCTGCGACTCAGCAATATTAGTCCCACCGGCCCCGATGCGCCAATAAACTTTTTTATGCTTTTGCGGACTAAGTGCTTACTTTCCCAATGACCAGAGCCATGGGCCTTCTGGGAGTCGGACCATTGCCACTGCTTGGAGGCAGAGGATGGTTTGTCTAGATTGCCAAATGGAGGCGCGCGAGGACCCAAGGCGCTCAGTTCAGGGATTAAGATTAGGAGAGGCCCTGGAAGGCTGCCAGAACGACGTTCTGTTTTGCACGTGGGAGACCTGGGTAAGCAGCCTTTGGGCTCCAGAAGTAGCAGCTGGAGTAGAGGCTGCGAGGCCAAGACCATGGCAAGATGTGAGTGAAAGGAGGCGGCCGACTCCGGAGAACCAAGAGCTTTCTCCCCGTGGCCGGATCGTGGGCCGAGCATGGCATTCTAGGGCAGGGCAAACGTGATCCGCTCATTATTCCTCGGTGCTCCGTAAACTGGACCCTACCCGGGAGAAGACGGAGTTGTGACAGGGATGCCACACGTTAAGTGAATAGCTGTGATCTTGAGTCAGCAGTAGACTCCTGTCACCGAGGGTAGGGGAACTTCCTATTGTTTGCCCCACCCTGCTTCAGCTCCCAAATGGCCTCCAGTTGTCGCTCTGCAGAGCTGGATCTTCAATGGATGTTGGGGGCCTGTTTGAATTTTGGGCGGAGCTCAGGATAGGGGGCTGTTTTCCTATTATGGGGACTATTGGAGGACGTCCAGAAGTACAGATGACTGCTCTCGGCTCGCGAAGACCGCGGAGCTGTGGGGGAGGGGAGGGAGAGGGCTGTATGGGGAGCTGTGCCTGCGCCCAGCCTGGAGAGCGGATAGGGCGGGGTCTGGTGGGCGGAGCCAGCATGACCTTGGTCACTCTCCCGCCGAGACAGTCTCGGGGGTGGGACTCGCCGTCTCTATGGAGACCGAGAAACAGGGGATAATACTGCGGAGCCGCCCGGGCTGCAGTCCCGCCAGGGAGCCGGCAGGGAGCGGAGCTGCGGAGCGCCTGGTTTCCCGCATCAGTCGGTCCATTCCTGTATCCTGACCATCTGAAGCGCTGCAGGAGCAGCCACGAGATAGAAGCCGGTAGGATCCCCGGACGCCGACCACCTTAATCAGTATCCTGCACATAGAGGGGTGGGTGGGAGCGACCTGGAAGGAGTCCCAAACCCGGATGATATAGAGCCCAGTAAACCAGCTGAGCTGCCCTACCCAGGCCCCAAGCGTTCCACCCGCCAGTCCCAACCTCCTTGCTAGGCTGATTGATGACTCCAGCTGTCCCAGCAGGAGCGGAGCGGATGGTGGCCTCAATTCAGGGGCGTGGCTACTCCATCCATGGCCTGCAGACCCCTCTGGACGCTGCCTGTGACTGTGCTCCACAGCCCTGAGATCACCCAAAATGCATTTTCCCACAGACAGGAGTGAGCACTGTATGCAGGCTCCTCCCAGTTCTTTAGGACAAGCATTATGTGGCACCCAAACTCTCTTGGACATTTGTTTTACCCTTGGTAAAACAAATGCAGAGCTGTAGGCCCCTTCTGGGAGATGGTACCCAGGGAGAGGGAGGGGGAGTGCAGCGCTGACTGGGGATGTCTTCCCAGAGGTTCCCAGAGGTGTAGGATCTCTGGGTGCTCACAGTGCCAGAGACTGCAATTTAGAGATGGTGGGGTCACCAGGAAGCAGTGGTCAGTGTCAAGGCTAGTGGTGGTGGAAGACAAGGGAGCTGGGCAGAAACCCAGGCGGTGATCACCTTTTGTATAAGAGGCAGAGAGTTAAAGATGGTAGCCAAGACTGAGAGTGTGGTCAGGGGGTGGTCTCAACATAGTGCCTGGAAATCTGGAAATTCTAATGTGTGAGATGGACACTGGTGGGTTTCAGTTCAGTACTTTGGATGTGTGAACAAAGTGGGGTGCCAAGGGTGTGGTCAGGGGGCCTTGATAAGAATTGTGGGTATGTGAGGGGTTGGGTTGCTGAGTCTTTGGTTAGGGAGGTCTCAGGGCTGCAGGGTGTGTGTGGGGATGCTGCATGTGCAGTACAGGTATGGTCAGGGAGGCTTCAGTTCAGGGCTGTGTTCAGTGAAGGGAGTTTCAGTGCAAGGCTGAGGGTGTGGCCAGGGGATTAGAGTGGAGGGCTATGGGTGTGAAGGGCAGATAAGGGTATTTCTAGGGGGGTCTCAGTGCAGGTCTAGCATATGTAGGGGGGATGAAAGCTGGGGGAAGGGTCAGGTCTCAATTCCAGGGCAGTGGGTGTGGCTGGAAGAGGCCGCAATGCAGAGCTGTGGGTGTGGTCAGGGGTATAAGACCTAGGGTGTGGAGGGCCAGTGGAGTGCATATGGGCTGTGGGAATATGGACTGATGTGGTTGTTCAAGGGTGTGGCAAGGAGACCTCAATGGAGGGCTGAGGTATAGTAAGGGACATGTGCTTCAGTGGAGGGTCACAGTACAAGGCCATGGTCCTACTTGCCAGCATGCTTATTTCTTCTAGTTATTCTACAATCCCACTTAAACTGGTCCCCGATCTCATGCTTCTCCTAAATTCCACAGACTGGGAGGTTTCAGCCCTAGTGGGTGGCATGGGGCCAGGAAGCCATGGTTGTGCCCTAGGCGCAGGGAGTGCTGGCGTGCCCCACCCGTGGGCCTCAGCTCCCCAGCCCAGCCCGGCCCAGCCCAGCCCAGCCCAGCCCAGCCGAGCACTGGGAGCTTCTCCCTGAGCTGCCCTGACACCATCCTGCCCTTAGCAACATTCTCCAAGCAGCACCACCCTCCCTTAGCAACTGTCTCCAGGCTTCACAAACTGTGGCCAGGCCAGCCCCAAGCTCCCGTTCCCCTCATGTTTTTGTTTAACAGCAAATAGTAACAAGGCTCCGGCTGGGCCAGCTGCACCCCTGCCTACGGCATGTTCTGGCTCCCTTCTCAGGCCTGGGCTGGGTCTTACTAGGTCTTCATGACCCTTACAGAGATATTGTCATTACTAAATACCTGCCCAACCAGTAGCCTGTCCTGTCCCTGACCCACCTTGGCATGGAGCTTCCTGGGAGAGGGGCCCTGCTCTGCCATTCTCACTTCCACCCAGGCAGGCCTTGTGCCAGGGCCAGACAGAGCCATGGCCCCAGCTGCTATCCTCACAGTCTTTCTGGACAGTACCACTCTGTTCCCAGCTTGTTGTGGGCATCATGATTTCATCTTCTAAGCTCAGAGCCAGGACTGGCACTAAAGGACAGGACCTTTCTTCTTAGGGCTCTTCCTCTGGGCTCTGCCCTCTGGGCTCCAGGCAGACACTGAGTACTGGTCCCTCTCCCCAGTCCCAACTCAGGGTCTGTGGCAGAAGTGGTGCCAATTCAGACCTTGAGGGTTTTTTGACTTAGAGGCAGTGATATCCTGGGTCTTGGGAGGGGGAGGGGCAACATGGCTGGGAGGTGATTGAGGTGGGTCCCCACAGGGTGGCATGGCAGCAAGCACAGATGTAGCTGGGCTGGAGGAGAGCTTCCGCAAGTTCGCCATCCATGGTGACCCCAAGGCCAGCGGGCAAGAGATGAATGGCAAGAACTGGGCCAAGCTGTGCAAGGACTGCAAGGTGGCTGATGGAAAGGCCGTGACAGGGACTGACGTCGACATCGTCTTCTCCAAAGTCAAGTGAGCCCTCTGCAGCCCCTGCTTCTTCTGTTCCCAGAAGGTGGAGAATTGGGGGCTGGAACCAGGGAGGACATTGAGAAGGGGAAAACTAATGGTGCGTATGTGCATGACAGGGGAAAGTCTGCTCGGGTTATCAACTATGAGGAATTCAAAAAGGCCTTGGAAGAGCTGGCAACCAAGCGGTTCAAGGGGAAGAGCAAGGAGGAGGCTTTCGATGCCATCTGCCAGTTGGTGGCAGGCAAGGAACCAGCCAACTTGGGTGTCACTGTAAGTGCTCTGCTGGTCTCTGGAGGCCACTGAGGGAGATGGGGGACTCTTGGCTGGGGGTGGGAAGGGAGAAGCCTCTTTCACTAGGGCATGGCTGCGCATGGCTGACTTCTGCCTGCCTGGAAATTTTGTTCAAACAGAAAGCAAAAACAGGGGGTGCTGTGGACCGGCTGACGGATACCAGCAAGTACACAGGTTCCCACAAAGAGCGCTTCGATGAGAGTGGCAAGGGCAAGGGCATTGCTGGACGGCAAGACATCCTGGATGACAGTGGCTATGTGAGTGCCTACAAGAATGCAGGCACCTATGATGCCAAGGTGAAGAAGTGAGGCCAGGGAAGGCGCCCACTGCACCTGCCCCTGCCAGAGGCTCAGGCCTGGGCATAAGGGGCACATGGAGCAAAGAAGCCCGGTCCCTTTCCTGCTGGACCTGCCACCCAGAGCTTCCTGCCCAGCCCCATGAGGCCAGCCTACCAGCCCTCTGACCCAGACTACTCTGTGTCCCTCTTCCTCCTCCTCTTGCCTCTCCAACTTCTAAGGAATCCTGTGCCTATAGCCTCACCACCCCAACCTGGTCCTAGGCATGGCTGACTTCTGCCTGCTTGCCTCATATTTAAGCTGCTGCTCTGGCCAAGTGCCTAATTCTTACCCAGACCTCAATAAAGACACTTTTTGTACCAATTGGCCTGGTTGGGTACATGATGACATTCACACCCAAGTACTGCCCTCAGTATCATCATTCTGCTGCATACACATCCTATGGGGTCTCCCTCCATTCACTGGCAGCCTACCCAGAAAGAGAGAGACACAGGAGTCCCCTTCCAAAGAGCCAGACTACCAGAGATGTCCCTCAGGGAAATGCAAAGCCTTTTAACTGGGCCCTGACCCTGAGTCCTGACCTCAAAGCTTGCCTCCCTGCAGTTGCCTAGTATGCAGACTTGGCCCCTCTCCACTTGCACAGCCTGAGGAGGGATGAGATAGCAGACTTGGCCTAGGCCAAGTCTTGGCAGAAACCCTGGGACCAGGCCTCGGCTCTAAGCCTACCAACTGGGGGCTACCAAGGCAAATTATTTGGGGATCCATATGAAAATCTCAGATAATCCAGAGCCAGGAGGAACCTTAGAGAGTACATAATTTAACTTCCTCATTTTATAGCCAGGAAAACTGAGGCCCAGAGAAGGAAAGTGTTTCTGCAGATGAGGCCCAACCATGCCTTTTGCCTCATGCCTTTCAACACATCAGGCCCCAATACTGATTTTTAAAAGTAGGGCTGAATGGCTAGTAACAGAGCCTGGCTCTGCGGCAGAGGTAGGAGGTAGAGAGAGGGTGTCCCACAGTGAAGGGGCCTTTTCTTGTTGATTCCCTCCCATGTATTCACCATTCTGGCCGAATGGGTAGGGCCTCTGGTTCTGAGGGCTCTTGGATGTTTCCAGATCATGAAGTTCTGGGTGTTGGGCCAGAACTATTCCTAAGCCCACGGCTTTGGCACCAACTCTCTTCTTTTCGGCTGTGACAAGAGGACTGATGGTACCTAGGGCCTACCTAGGAGAGGGCAGATCCCAAGGGTTCTAGAAAAGGCTTGAAATGCACATGTTCATGAGCACATGCCCTATTTCTGGTACAATGAAAACGGTGCAATTATTTATTCCCTCATCCCACAGTTCCTGCTTTAGGTGGCACTGAAATCCCTAAAGCCCAACTACTTGGGGATGGGGTGCAGAGAAATAGTGTGTCTCAGACAGAGAAGCTGGAGTTCAAGTGGGAAGCTGAGGGCACGAATTGACACCTGACCTCTGCAGAGCCTTGTCTCCCAGCCAGCAGTAAGCAGCAGGCTCCTCCTCACTGGGCTGTCCACCTTCCCTCCCTCTACCTTTCCCGCTGGCAAGCAGTAGAGGAGTGATCCCTTCTAGCCTTGGGAAATCTGAATTGGAAGTTTTACCACAGTGAGCGTTAACAGCAGGGAACCCAACCCCTTCTGGCTTTAACTTACCAAAATACTCTCATAGCAACCTGAATTTACCTGTATTCAAACTGAGTCACCCTCCCAGCTACTTGAACCAGCCCGTATGGAGGGGAGAAGCAACCTGTCCATTACTATGACTGGCTTGGAGGAACCCAGAGAGAACTGGCTGAGCCCCCAAACTCTACCTTGGAGTAAAGCCCTTGTGCTTCTTGAAAAGCTTCATGGAGCCTGGGAGAGATCAAGGCCACTCAGGGCCAGGAAGATCCTTAAAAACCAAATGGGGCTCACAGAATCTGGTGCAGGGCAGCCATTGGTGAACAATACCACTGCTGCCCTGGCATTGTGTTCTTCCCCCTCATAGCCTCCTTATGGTGGAAAGCCTTGGGTACCCTTATAGCAAGGCTAGGCATACAAGGAAGGGAGGGGAGGTTCTATAGGATGGAGAGTTAAAATCTTTCTGAGCTGGGCTTTGTGGCACATGCTTGTAATCCTAGAGATTCAGAAGGCTGAGGCAGGAGGATTGCAAGTTTGAGACCAGCCTTGGCAATTTAGTGAGACCCCGCCTCAACATAAAAGTTAGAAAGGGCTGGGGACATATCTCAATGGTAGAAGCACCACTGAGTTCAATCCCCAGTATTGCAAATTAAAAAAAAAAATAATGCTTCTGTATAGCTAGGGGTAGTGTAGGCCTGTTGGGGTGGCTGTGCCTCTCTCCAGAGGACTTGGGTGGTAAACTCTTGATTTTCACTCTCTTCATGCCTCATGCCTTTTAACACATCAGGCCCCAATACTGATTTTTAAAAGCAGGGCTGAATGTTGGCTTCAGTTAGCCCCACAGGGCAACAATTCCTTGGCCCTTCTCTTGACAGCCCAGTCTTTACCCCTGCCCTCAGGACTGTACCACACAGGGAAAATCAGAACCAGAAATAAATTCCCCAGGAGCAGTCAGCAGCCAGAAGAGGTGCCAGCTTGTGTCAGAGCCAGCTACTTTCTGTGACAAAGGGTAATGATGTAGAAGGTGATTTAGTTTGGATTAGGCTCTTTGCTTCTCTTTAGAGGTGCCCTGAGTAGATTCTGAGTCTGCCATTATCAGATGCTCATCCAGATGCAGGAAAGCCCGGGGCAGTAGAAAGAAGTGTATTATTTCTCCTCTAAGGGTCTGACTAGCAGGTTGGCCTATGCCTGGCCTAAGTCCCTGAAATGTGACAACACAGGGCTGTGAAGTCAATAGACAATGCTCTCCTTCCTGGGCAAGGCTTAGGCTCTTTTTTTTTTTTTTTTTTTAATATTTATTCTTTTTTAGTTTTCGGCGGACACAACATCTTTGTTTGTATGTGGTGCTGAGGATCGAACCCGGGCCGCACGCATGCCAGGCGAGCACGCTACTGCTTGAGCCACATCCCCAGCCCCAGCTTAGGCTCTTTGATAGTTTCTCAATGGGACAAGGACAGGCCCAGAAAAGTGGCAGGGTGGGGAAAAGAGGCTCTTTTGTCATTTCCACAGAGCACAAACTCACACTAGTTCCCTTGGAGCACACAGGTCAAAGATATGTACAGCTCCTCTGTACAGCTGCCTCTTGGGAAGCCATGTACAATCTGGAGATCTGTAGATTTTATTTACAACTAGGAAATGTGGGATCTTTATGTCTCATTAGTATGGCAATAAGCCTCCTTCCCTGCACAGCACCAGAGTCCAAGCACAAAAGATTATCTAATCCTTCCACCCACCTCTTTCTCTGATGTGGCCCTGAAGGTGAAGAGAAGTATAACATGGCATTAAGTTGACAGTCATTCACCCTATACCCTCTCTGAAAACATAAGCTACTTGGGAGAAGTCTGAAGCAGAAATATAACTTGAACCATTTTCCCCATTGAGGTTTTAAATGCCTAATGGATCAGAATTAAAGAAATACAGTATACTTGTATGTGAAATGGACACTGAGCCCACGCTGGCACACTCAGAAGCTGTGTCTCTGTTATCTAGTTCCTCTGGGGTTCTTCCTTGTGCCACATCATTGCCAATCCATTCTTCTCACAGAGAAAGCCTCACTCAAGCCCCTACTCCTGGGCCTCTCTAATCTAAAATCTTCCAGGAGCCACATGACCTCACTCCTGCTACCTTCTTCTTACCCCTTTCCTTCAAGGCCTGTGTATGTATTACTTCTCTGCAGCTTCTCTCATTGCTTTTGCTCTTGGCCTATGCTTTGCCTAGTCTAGTAACTTCTTACTTATTCCCAGGTACCTCTTACTTATTCTGAGGTCTCAGTTGAATGTCCTCTGGGGACATATTCCTAACATTACATTTCCTAGGCTATGACTCATTGCCACTCTTACACTCTCATGGAATCATGTCCCACCTCGGACCCTGCCCCAGAATCCCTCTGAGTGCTCCAGACTCTGCACTCCTGAGGCGCTGCATCCCTTCATTCTGCTCCCCTCCTACTCTTCTGTCAGCTCCCACTCACACACTAATCCTGGCCGTGGCCTTCCCCATGCTGGGATTCCTTACTCTCTTTCTCTGGGGCATCTTTCTCTTCAGGGTTTTTTTTTTTAAATTTTTTTTTTTGAGAGAGAGAGTTTTAATATTTATTTTTTAGTTTTTTCGGCAGACACAGCACCTTTGTTTGTATGTGGTGCTGTGGATCGAACCCAGGCCGCACGCATGCCAGGCGAGCGCGCAAGCCACATCCCCAGCCCTCTTCATGGTTTTTGTATAGACCTGTTTGGTCCTAATTCAAAGCTTCAAGTTCCAGAATTGTTTCAAGTTAATTTAAAATACATAACTTTGACTATGCATTACCAAAAAGATAATACCTTAATGCTGTCCCCAGACCAGCATGAGTTTGTGCTTTATTCCTGATTAAACAAATCATGGGCTACTCCAGGGCCAACAAACTCCAAATGTGTTTGGTGAATCCATAAATATAGAGTCTCTAAAATTTCTTTTAGCACAAAATATATTTGATGGATGTTCTTTTATGACTTTCTACTACACAATATCAAATGACACTGGGGGAAGTGTCCAGTGTTTTTTCCTTTTTGACATTTTCAGTCAAATGCCTCTGTGTGACATGATGCAATTTCTGTGGGCAGAAGGAAAAAAAAATGATTCAAGGGGAGGACATAGAGAAATAAAAAGAAGGGACAATACAATGTAATCAGAATAAGCTTTTTTTTTTTTTTTTTAATATTTTGCTGGTGGCAAAGACATTGCAAGCCCTCCATCGATATGTGAGAGTAGACAGTGAAGGTGTTCAGTGCTAGCTCCACAAATTAGGATCTGGGACAGTTTCTGAGATGCTTTGTGTTAGATACTGACCCGTGTCATGTGCCACTGGTGAGGAAGAAGACAATGTGCTTTTCCCAAAGGGCGATGATGTCCCCAGATGATGACTTTTTTCAGAAGGCAGGAGTGCTTTCCCGGAATAACCTTTTTGCTCTTTATTCAGCTGTTGCAGCAGATACTCATTAGTTACCACCAGGGATCTGAGACCCAGAGGGGGAAAGACAGTCATGAAATCACAAAAGCAAAGTAGATGCCATTTGGGTCTGAAATGTGTGCTAAAGATAAATGTAAAATGAAGTATCATCTTTCAACAGAATCGTCAAATTTGTAAGTGGGTTATTTTAAAAGCAAATGTACAGTTTCTTCATTACAATTCTGATTGTGTTCCAGACTGATTAAAGCAATAATATATTTCACATTTTATAGAGTGTCT